CCTAGAGCTCGAGTTATCTTGAGAAAACCGTGAGCGCGTATTCAGATAACTCGAAACGGCCGATCCCGCCGGGACGCTTTTTGGCAGTACAAGGTACCCGATCGAGCTGAGATCAAGATGGCAAGCGGGAATAAGATCGAATATCACTGGAAAAAATACTAGAGCTACGAATGGTTGAATTTCGAGAATAAAATTTTCAACCGACCAAAAGTCACCAAAAGATCCGTCGATATTTTTCTTGCCAACTAGCTCTCCAGCGCCCCGGAACTGGCGCCGGCGGTAAACCGTCAACCTGGTCACCGCCAGGAACCTCGTAGAGCTCCTGTCACTAGTAAGAGTGCAGAGTTGAGATGTTTCGAAAATCTTGAAATTCGATTATTTCGATGTTCATATTCGCTCAGTGTCACATTGTCCGCCTCGGCCGGCTGGGCCAACTAGCTCCACCCCGCGCCGGAATTCCTCTAGCTCATCGATGCCGAAGAGCTCTACGAGGTACTCGGTAGCGTCCACTTGGTAGCGTCCACAACCCGGAGAGCAAAGAGGGCACACACCGCAAAAGCCTTCTTGGGAAAGTCACAGGAGCTCTCAGGAAGCTCTTCTGGGGCTCGTGGGGCCTCCCTGCAGGGCTTCTGGAGCGCTGCCAGGAACGCTTCCACGCGTGCCTGCACGCGTGCAGGCGCGCGTGGAAGCTCGCCGGAAGCTCTTCCGGACGCGCTGCCGGGTCGAACGAGCTGCTACGAGGATTCTGGAGCGGCAGAGATGGGCTTCTCGCGGGCACCACCAGCTACCGGCTTCTAATCTTAAACCCTCTAGCTCTCAGCGAGCTCTCCGGGAAAAACCCGAAGAGCATAGGGCGAACACACCAGAAAGCTTTCCGGGCGAGCCGTGCAACGCTCTCGCAAAGCTCTTCTGGCCCTTCGGAACGCTCCCCTGCAGCGCTGCGGAAGCACTGCCAGAAACGCTTCCATGCGTGCCTGCACGCGTGCAGGCTCGCGTGGAAGCTTGCCGGAAGCTCTCCCGGACCAGCTGCCGGCTCGAACGAACCGCTGCGGGGATTCTGGACCGGCGAAGATGGGCTGCTGGCGGGCACCACCAACGACCGGCTTCTAACTGGCGCCGGCGGTGAACCGTCAATCTGGTCACCGCCGGGAACCTCGTAGAGCTCCTTGCATCCGTGAGAAAGCTCAGCATCGAAGCGGGAGCTTCTGGGAGCTTTTCTACAGAAACTTCAAGTTGAGATTTTTCGGAGTCAACATGAAGTCGGTTCCTCCAAGTGAACTGGTACTGAAAATATCTCTGGAGGGCTGAGCTGCTCAGGGAACAAAGTTTATATCTCAATGCTCGGAGTAAAAATGTGCTTTCTTAAAATGAATTGTCAAATATCTTTCAAAAAATTGCAAAACCACCCAAAAGTTGCCACATTGCCCGCCTCGGCCGGCTGGGCCAACTAGCTCCACCCCGCGCCGGAATTCCTCTAGCTCATCGATGCCGAAGAGCTCTACGAGGTATCTTAAACCCTCTAGCTCTCAGCGAGCTCTCCGGGAATTACTCTGCAGCTTCCAGCAATAACTTGCTAAGGGAAGCTCTACGAGTTACTTGGTAGCGTCCAAAACCCGGAGAGCGAAGAGACCCTTTGGGGACGGAAAATCTTTCCTGGAGAGCTCTGGGAAGCTCCCCTGCAGCGCTGAACCGAGAGCGTCTGCTAGAATGACTCGAATAATACGAATAGGTTTGCGACCCTAGCTCGGCTAGCAGACCGAGTTCAGACCTCTGGATTCAACAGGCGAACGCGCCTGATCATTCTGAATGCATTAGCTGTGCTGACCAGCTCTGTAGTTGTCCTGAAGCTCGAGTTATCTTGAGAAAACCGACAGCGCGTATCAAGATGACTCGAAACGGCCGTTCCCGCCTGCCTGCTTTTTGGCCTTCAAAGTTACCCGATCGAGCTGAGATCAAGATGGCGAGCGGGAATAGGATCGAATATCATGGGAAAAAATACTAGAGCTCCAACGAATGGTCAAATTTTGAGAACAAAATTTTCAACCGACCAAAAAACACCAAAAGGTCCGTCAAGATTTTTCTTGCCAACTAGCTCTCCAGCTCCCCGGAATTACTCTTACTGGGCGCCGGCGGTAGACCGTCAACCTTTGTGACCGCCGGCCGAGGGACTCGTAGAGCTTCCTGACTCGTGGGGATGTGAAGAAGAATTCCAGAGAACGACTAGTTTTTCAGCCCAAGCGATTTCATACCTCTCAGGATCACTCAAACAAAAAAACAAACAACTTCAATGGTACAATAGTTTCGCAGACCTAGTTCGAGCAGCAGACCGATTTCCCAGCTCTCGGTTCGACAGACGGACGCGCCCGATGTCTCAGAATCGATTTCCGTGACCAGCAGTAGCCTTCCCCAGCAAGAGTTAAGTGCGGAATACCGAGAGAACTTCTCAGAATGACTTGAACAATACGAATAGTTTTGCGAACCTAGCTCGGGCAGCAGGCCGAGTCCAGAGCTCTCGATTCGACGCACGAACGCGCCTGATGATTCTCAATCGATTTCTGTGACTATGAGCTTGTAGCTGCCCTACAGCTCGAGTTAAGTACAGAAAACCGAGGGCGTCTATCAGAATGACCAAAATAATACGAATAGGTTTGCGAGCCTAGCTCGGCTAGCAGAACGAGTTCAGACCACTAGATTCAACAGGCGAACACGCCTAATGATTCCGAATGCGATAGGAGTGCGTACCAGCTCTGTAGCTGTCCTGTAGCTCGAGTTAAGTACAGAGAACCGAGAGCGCCTATCAAGATCACCCAAATAATATGAATAGTTTTGCCTAGCTCGGCTAGCAGACCGAGTTCAGACCTCTAGATTCAACAGGCGAACGCGCCTAATGATTCTGAATGCGATAGGTGTGCTTACCAGCTCTATAGCTGCCCTAGAGCTCGAGTTCAGTACAAAACACCGATAATGCGTATCAAGATGACTCGAAACGGCCGATCCCGCTAGAGTGCTTTTTGGCGGTAAAAGCTACCCGATCGAGCTGAGATCAAGATGGCGAGCGGGGATAAGATCGAATATCACGGAAAAATACTAGAGCTCTAACGAATGGTTGAATTCCCAGAAAAAAATTCAACCGACCAAAAGTCAGCACAGTTCCGTCGAGATTTTTCTGGCCAACTAGCTCTCCAGCGCGCCGGAATTACTGGGCGCCGGCGGTAAACCGTCAACCTTGGTTACCGCCAGGGAACTCGTAGAGCTTCCAAGCTCGACTTAAGTAGTTCCGTCGAGATTTTTCTTGCCAACTAGCTCTCCAGCGCGCCGGAATTACTGGGAACCGGCCAAACCGTCAACCATGTTACCGCCGGAACCCTCGTAGAGCTCTTTTCTCACACCGTGCTTCTCCGAACACTTGAAGAAAGCTTCTGGAGCGAGAAACAAAGAAATCGAAAAATCATGTTTTTCTATTTTTATCCAGACGCGTCTTAACCCACTACAGGTGCGAAAAATCTGCTTTCTCAAAATATATGGTCAAATATCTTTCAAATTTTTGCAAAACCACCCAAAAGTTGCCACATTGTCCGCCTCGGCCGGCTGGGCCAATGGCGCCGGCGGTGAACCGTCAACCTAGTTACCGCCGGGAACCTCGTAGAGCTCTTCTAACTGGTAAGAGTGCAGAGAATCGACACAGAATTAAAATATTGAGATTTCTCGAAAATCTTCAAATTCGTTTTTTCGATATTTATATTCGCTCAGTTCCTGGAAGTCAACTGATGCGAAAATGCATCGAGAGAGCTGAGCTCCTGTCAGAGAGGAGTTCATATGCCAATGCTCGGCGTAAAAATCTGCTTCCTTAAAATAAATGGTCAAATATCTTTCAAATTTTCGCAAAACCACCCAAAAGTTACCACATTGTCCGCCTCGGCCGGCTGGGCCAACTAGCTCCACCCCGCGCCGGAATTCCTCTAGCTCATCGACTGGAACCGGCGGTAAACCGTCAACCTGGTTGACGCCGGGAACCTCGTAGAGCTCTTTTCTTGCACAGCGATCGTCGGAATACATGGAGAAAGCTTCTCAGGCGAGAAACGAAAAACTCGAAAAATCACGCTTTTCTCCTTTTATACAACCTCGGTCCCTCCAAGTATTTTGATAGTAATACTGGACCTATGGGCCTGGAAATTTCACTGGCGGACGCGCCATAGCCCACTACAGGTGCGAGAAATCTGGTTTCTCAAACTGAATGGTCAAATATCTTTGAAATATTCACAAAACCACCCAAAAGTTGCCACATTGTCCGCCTCGGCCGGGTGGGCCAACTAGCTCCACCCTGCGCCGGAATTCCTCTAGCTCATCGATGCCGAAGAGCTCTACGAGGTATAACGAAGAGCTCTACGAGGTACTAGCTCCACCCCGCGCCGGAATTCCTCTAGCTCATCGTTGACAAAGAGCTCTACGAGGTACTCTTAAGCTTCCAGCAACTAGCTTGGGGAAGCTCTACGAGTCACTCTTGGCTTCCATCAATAACTTGCTAAGGGAAGCTCTACGAGTTCAGCTTACGAGTTAAGCTTCCAGCAATAACTTGCTAAGGGAAGCTCTGCGAGTTACTTGGTAGCATCCAAAACCCGGAGAGCAAAGAGAATTACTGGCGCCGGCGGTGAACCGTCAACCTGGTCACCGCCGGGAACCTCGTAGAGCTCCTTCCACGCGAAAGAGTGCTCAGAGTCGAAAGGGAGAGCTTCTCGAAGCATTTCTTAACAAAACAGAAAAATTGATTTTTTCGTGTCGACATAAAGATGGTTGCTCCAAGTGTTTTGATAGTAAAAGTGCGCCTACAAAGCTCATACCAAGACAGAGAGACCCTCATAGCCGTTCACAGGTGCGAAAAATCTGCTTTCTCAAAATAAATGGTCAAATATCTTTCAAAAAATCGCAAAACCACCCAAAAGTTACCACTTTGTCCGCCTCGGCCGGGTCGACCAACTGGACGCCGGCGGTAAACCGTCAACCTTGGTTTTTTTTGCGGACTTTGCGGTCGACTGTGCAGGTTTTCCAGCCTAGTCGGAGCAAGGAGCGGACGTATCCAAACAGGCAAGGCGTGAGTGAGCACAAACTCTTATTCACATCAAACCAGTCCGAAATACGCATGTTCAACCCGCCGTATGACAAGAGGCGTATGCTCAATGTCACATGTGAAGTAATCAACGAATTAGACAGGGAAACAACCCGTGGAAGAACGTCACCTGAAGAATATGAGGGGCTCCTGCCCTTTACACACCTGAAGCGCTTAGTGGGGCCCACAGCGGGCCGTAGAGCCATCATGGCTCCAGCGAAAGGTCAAACAGAAAAATAAAGTGAGGAAAACAAAAACAAGTAAGATACAAGCATTACAGCCTTCGCTGTTCTAAACCGAAAGTTGCATACAAGTGCGCACGAATAGCTTCATCCCAACTTGTCGAAACTCCTCGGGCGCCCGAAGAATATTATTCGGTAATCGCTGCACTTGGAAACCTCAAGAAACTTGGCCATCTCGGCGCTGTTCATTTGTCCTGTCAAGAACCTGTGCACCTCGAAGAATCCTAGGAGATCCTCCAGCGTCGCTTGCACATTCTGGAGCATCTCATACAGTTTCCGAGCATAATCTTTTTGGGCCTTCTTTGTAGGGAACCCACGTTCAGTCACCAGCTTATCAAACAAATCCATTCCGTTCTTTAAATACTGGATCGCATTCAACTCGTTGATGCTGGCAACAGCGTCAATCCACGCTTTGACATCGGCAATGGTGGCCTGAGAGCACGTCGATGTCCCCTTGACCTTGTCACGATCTCTCCCTCGAGTCCTCTGGCGCGACTCCTTCGATACCTCATTGAGCGTGACGGGACGATTCAGACACCCCTGGGACGCTCCTGACAAGGCGCGGCTATCAGAATCAGACTGCACGTTCGGAGAACACTCCGCAGTCGAGGGTGCCTCCAGCTCCTCCTCCGCCGCCACAGTCACTTTCCCAAGAAGAACTCCTGAAGCTCCTCCCTCCATCCCAACGACACTATCTGTCTGACAGCCGACTTCACAATGAAAGTCCGCAACATCAACTGTCTGCACTCCAACATCAACCAGCGATTCAGATGCCTGCACTCCAATATCTACATCAACCAGCGATTCAGAAGCCTGCATACGGCAAGAAAGATTCTCCGAAACAGTCTTAATGTCAGCCTCCTCCTCCTCCTCCAAACTGCGTTTAACAACAGGTGGATCGCGCAACAAGAGATAATCTAGAACCAAATCGGCAGTCGCCCGCTCCAGCCCTGGTGGTGGGAGACACGTAGGTGGCACCAATCCATCCAGAGGCAAACGAATAGGTAAATGCACACAGTATCCGTTTTGAACAGCCAGCGCCCGACGCATAATGCGAGCACTTGCACTCCGCACGTGTGGCATAACGAAAGATTGCAGAGACTGCCTCGGGAGCACCCAGCAAAACAAATCAATTGAAGACAACTCAAGGCGATCAAACGTGTCAAATGAATGGCAGCGCAATATCACTCTAGGCGACAAACGTGTGAAACAAATCAATTGAAGACCACTCAAGGCGATCAAACGTGTCAAATGAATGGCAGTGCAATATCACTCTGGGCGACAAACGTGTGACTCCCTGACGCACACTCGATCCCACTGGAGGTTACCCAGGCAGAGGGGATCAAATGTCAAGCGCCTTGAGCCGAGATTTTCTTGAGCCGGGAGACCGCCGGGAGACTCGTAGAGCTTCCAGCTCGACTGAAGTTGAGAACACCGAGGACCTACCAACATTCCGACTCATAGTAAATATGTTGTGCCCTCTCAATGCGACAGGCGGACGCGTCTGATGTCTCTGAATCGATTCCTATGATGACCAGCCCTGCAGCCCCCCCACAGCCCGAGTTAAGTGCAGGAAGCCGACAGCACCTCTCAGGATGACTCCAACAATACAGTAGTTTCGCAGACCTAATTCGGGCAGCAGACGAGTTCCGAGCTCTGGTCTCCGCAGACGGATGCGCCTGTTGTCTCTAAATCAGCTGCTGTCCCCAGCAGCACTGTAGCCTCCCCCCAGCACGAAATACCGGCAGCACTCCTCAGGATGACTCGAACAATACGAATAGTGCTGCGAACCTAGCTCGGGCAGCAGGCCAAGTTCAGTGCTCTCGAGTCGACGAACAAAGGCGCATGGTGATTTCCAATAGATTTCTGTGACTACGAGCTCTGTAGCTGCCCTACTGCTCGAGTTAAGAGCAGAAAACCGAGGGCGCCTATCAAGATGACCCAAATAATACGAATAGGTTTGCGGACCTAGCTCGGCTAGCAGACCGAGTTCAGACCTCTAGATTTAACAGGCGAATGCGCCTAATGATTCTGACTGCGATAGGTGTGCTTGCCAGCTCTGTAGCTGTCTTACAGCTCGAGTTAAGACCAGAAAACCGAGAGTTTCTGTGAGAATGACTCGAATAATACGAACAGGTTTCCGGACCTTCCTCGCCTCACAGACCGAGTTCAGACCTCTGGGTTCGACAGGCGAACGCGCCTGATCATTCTGCATGTATTAGCTGTGCTTACCAGCTCTGTAGCTGCCCTAGAGCTCGAGTTATGTTCAGAAAACCGACAGCGCGTATCAAGATG